GGGGGGGGGGGGGGTTTAGGGGGTTTCTGTTTTTTTGACCTCTCTAATTTGTGTTTGTATAACTTTGCAGGTATCGACTTTAAAATCCGAACCACGGAGATCCAGGGGAAGAAGATCAAGCTGCAGGTTTGGTAGGAGACAACTTTACTTTATTATAAGTGGGGGGGTTCTGCTTTATTTTTTAGACTATCCCCACCCCCTCTCGCCACTGGGTGACCAAGCCTACGGAATTCAGTTTTCGATGGTGTCACTCACCCAGAAGTAAATAAAAGTGTTGCTGCAGACACTCATTATTGTACCTCTCTCCAGCCCTTTGGGGAACATACTGCCTCCTGCTACAGCCAATTATTCCATATTTAGACTCATCAGTCCAGAGCACCTCGCTGATGCAATATATCTCCCTTGTGTCATGTCGCCATGCTCAGCCGTGGTGTGTGACATGTGACCGTCCTCCACAACCTCCCCTTAGTAGCAGCGTTTGGTCTGTTCCTCAGTATTCAGCCTCCAGCACAGCGGTTTGTGTTCCCGGTGATGATGTGTTTCCTCTGACATGTGACATCGATGATCGTTATCACCGGCTCGGTATAATTGGTGAATCGTACACCTGACTCCAATCCTAATTGATGCCAAAAGGGGGTGGGGGATCACCCCAAATATTGATTGGATTTGGGCAGGGGTAGCCAAACTCTGGCCCTCCAGCTGTGGTAGAACTACAAATCCCATGAGGCATTGCAAGATTCTCACAGCCACAGACGGGACTCCCGGAGAGAACTGCATCATGGGAGTTGTAGTTTCACCACAGCTGGAGGGCCGCAGTTTGGTTACCCCTGGATTTGGGTTTCTCTTCTGTTCTCTCACTTTGAAAAAAATTAAAAAGAATTCTCACTTTGCAGCATTTGTGGTCACTCCTAAAACTTTTGTACTGCGTTACAAGGTGTCACTTTCGGACAATCTCTATTGTCGGAGTACAGCCAGGAATTCCCCTTCAAGTGGCGGCCATGTTTATAATTTAAAGGTGAATCATTAACCTGAATTCTCTGCGGCGGGGGGGGGGATGGTATAATTGGTGAATCGTACACCTGACTCCAATCCTAATTGATGCCAAAAGGGGGTGGGGGATCACCCCAAATATTGATTGGATTTGGGCAGGGGTAGCCAAACTCTGGCCCTCCAGCTGTGGTAGAACTACAAATCCCATGAGGCATTGCAAGATTCTCACAGCCACAGACGGGACTCCCGGAGAGAACTGCATCATGGGAGTTGTAGTTTCACCACAGCTGGAGGGCCGCAGTTTGGTTACCCCTGGATTTGGGTTTCTCTTCTGTTCTCTCACTTTGAAAAAAATTAAAAAGAATTCTCACTTTGCAGCATTTGTGGTCACTCCTAAAACTTTTGTACTGCGTTACAAGGTGTCACTTTCGGACAATCTCTATTGTCGGAGTACAGCCAGGAATTCCCCTTCAAGTGGCGGCCATGTTTATAATTTAAAGGTGAATCATTAACCTGAATTCTCTGCGGCGGGGGGGGGGAGGGGTTGTGTGCTGGCATTTCATGTTTGACGTCAGTCCAGCAGATGTCCCCGGAGCCATATCGGGGAAGATCACAAGGAAGCGGCCTTGTGTCACTGTGTACATTGTCAATATGGCCGCTTCGAGGGCTTAAAGGTGAACTCCTTCCCCTTGCACGGTTGTACCGGCTCCTCTCGTGGACTGGAATGGCTTCTTCTCATATCACTGCACACTGCGAGCTTCTAATGCATTTGCATTAGAAGCTGCAACAAGTCAGCTAGCCCTTTCTGCCCCAGCCTGTCCCCACCCCTTTCATTCATTGGATTTCAGTTCTGTCAATCATGGAGGCTCAGCATCACATGTAGGCGGTCTGTATGCAAATGCAGCCTGACTAGAAACGCCCACTCCTCCAGACACCTACCCAGCAATACATTTGCATAGCTCCTCCCACTGATTGCATCTGGGCTCTTGAAAAGACTACTGAGATGTTTTTAGGAAGATACATACAGCACCCTGCCGGCTCCTCCCACCAGCCGTGACCTGCCTGCATTGCATAGAGAAGCAAAGGGACCCAGTGATGACACACTGGGTCTAATATAAGGTATAATGATGAGGGGAGGAGCCAGGGGAGTCGAAATATAAGCAGATTAAACTTCATCTTTTGACGCAAAAACATTTCAGCTGAGTTTTTCTTTCTTCCTCCTCCAGGGACACGGCCGGCCAGGAGAGATTCAAAACCATCACAACAGCATATTACCGCGGCGCCATGGTGAGTGCCGCGCCACCCCCCTGCCGGGCTCCGCACATCCAACTCCAGGGAATATATTCTAGTGAGGGAGAGATCACATTTCTGTCCGGGTTTTTATTTCTGCTTATGAACTCCCACTTCACTTCCTGTCCCGGTGACACACATACAAGAAATAAGGGACGTGGTTGTCACTGGGACAGGAAGTCACATCCAGGAACACCGCCATTGTCCGAAGTTTGAACCCTTCCCCCGCTCTATTAGGAAAAATGTCACGTCTGAGTTCCCGATGGAGAGATTTTCCGCCTCTTCTGGTCCTGACAGGAAGTGGAGGAAATCTCCCTAACAGGAAGACAGATGGTGATTTGTAGAAAGTGGGCTGAGATTCCATGTAGTGAGTGGAGATTCTTTGGGGTGGGCAGAGATTCCCTGTTGTGGGCAGAGATTCTTTGGGGTGGGCGGGGATTCCTTGTTTTGGGTGGAGATTTCTTGTTGTG